TTTTTACCGTGGTCGACGTTAGTGATAGCACAAGATAGCAGGTTTAAAACATGCCGTCAACTTGCTGCATTTTGTTAATCTGATTTCACTTTCAGCAGTAATGAGCTCCACTCCACGACTACTTTGTTCGGGAAAAATGTCACATAACCACGTGATGACCCGTATGTGCCATACGACTTCGAGAACTGCCGAACGCACTGTGTAAACAGACTTGGGGATCACCGGCAAAAAAATAGATCAAAGGAAATTAGTCAGTGGTTCATCCTTTGGTAGGACATCCATGATCAGAGTAAATTGACATTACTTTTCAACAAGTTTCTTTCATTTGTAACCCTGTGATCTGATACATGTACCAGAAATAATTATTTTCAAAACAAAAATCTAAAATTCACTTACCACCCGGGAAAACAATCTGAGTGGTCTCAAGATCTTCTAAAATATTACTGGCTTTTGTAGTGATCAGCAGCATGTACAGCTTCTCAATAGGTTGGTAGACATACCTGACGCTTTCAGTTTCTACAAACGTATGTTGTTTCCCAGTATTCATCAACTTAGGGAAAGCAGAGAGGAGACCTTCTACGCGGGACCTGGTCATCTCAACGAATTGTCGAGACAAGATGGGTTTCCCCGACTTGGTACAAACAGCAGCTGCTAGCAGTACCTGTAGAAGAAAATAATAAAAATATATAAATTAAATACGGTTCTCTCCGATCCCAATTCACACAGCTTTTCAATTAAAGGAGGCAGTGCTGTTTGTAATCAAATTTAAATCGCAATGTTGTCAGGAGAACGATCAGCTGTGACTATTAACAATGACAGTGGTAACGAGGTGAGTTAGACATCTTCATTTCGCGAGCAAGATGTTTATTAACAACAAATCGAGGAAATGTCAGGTAAGAAACTTTAGCCAAGGGGGTCGCCATGTTGGAAATTTCTTCAGCGAGTGATGATGTACAAAGTCTGCAAAGAACGTTAAGTTAACTGCCTCAAACAATCGTGTTATACCATAGAAAAATTATACAACTCACCATAGTTACGTCTTTTCTGTATTTGCTAGAATCCAAAGACGAATCCTTTAATGTACTAGTCGTTTCTCCTCAGTGTATGTCGAACCGGCCACGTACACATGGATGATGACAAACCTTCCGCTACGCGCGGAGTGATACATCAACTATAAAATACTCTGACTCAGTTGTAATATGCTGCTTTTGTAATTTTGTTCAAAACGTGTTTATTTATATATGAACAAGACAAGTGAGACTGTTTTGGAAATATATTGCCATAATTACACAAAATGTGCGAGTACTATATTATTGAAGGTGATGTGGTTCCACGTCATTCTTGTTGGAGTAGCTAAAACACTAGCAAATATACTTCTTACTCGAGAAATGTTTTTCCGAGCACATACACTGAGGTCATAGGTTATTAAGTGACAACACGTGTCTCGAGGTCATGACCTCACCGCAAGTTCTGCCACCAGCTGACTATTTCTGCTTTCTTTGAATCGTTGATTAAGTGTGTTTGAAAGAATATGAGTGAAGACAATACTGTGAAAGTGGGATCAAGGAAAAGTCAGGTACACTCTGAATTATTTAAATCTGGGACGCACTTTGGCATTTTTTTTAGTGCAAGTGCTGTGTTGATTTATTACACTGACTCGGCACTTTCGCAGGTCAGGCTGATGAAGTGTATTCTTAGACCGCCTTCTTAGACGGGGCCTACTACTTAACGCGCGGACACGCGAGGGAGTGTCCGGGCACGCGCGGAAGCGAACAGGGGGGGGGGGGGGATACCTAACGCGCGGGGCAGCGGTAGCCATCCTTGTACTGTATAATATTCGTTTATGCTCAAAATTTGAAACAGAGTGGCGAATTCGAGCAGCTGTCCACACTTTTTATGATCGACGCCCGGGCATTCCGGAAGAGTCGAGTCCGTGGTATCAGGACGATCCGGCCCTGGTTTGTTGCGGCCCTGGTAAAAAAAAAAAAAAAAAAAAGACGTTCCGGCCCCAAAACAGTTTGGTCGATCCGGCCCTGGTATAAATTATATTCGATACGTGTTCATATCTAATGTTAATATATTGAATGCTCAACGAATGCTTGACTATCTTGTTTAACAACTCATTTTCGACAGGCCATTGTTTGTAATTTAGCGTATAATCACGATTACTTTTTAGTACAAAAAGTCGAACATTTAACATGGCGACAAAGTGAGGCATCTTGCTACATTGTTACATTCTGATTTCTGCTCTTAATTTATTCACGCGCCAACTTATCAAAAAGACTAGCAATCCATAATACTCTTTCATTTTAATGAAAATCACGATAAATATATGAATACTACTACTACTACTAATAATAATAATATTTAT